ATCAAGGTAGAAAAATATTAAGATGAATTGTAAGAGGACTAAGCTTCTATTATGAGCACCAAAAAGCAGACAGCAGTATTAGTGCTATAATTAGAGGACACTATCAGTATCCTGGAATAGAAAAGACAAATGGACAAGTGCAGTCAAAGGAAATGTTTAGATTTCCATTCAGTTCCAAATAAATTTGGATTATTAAATACAGACTAGTTTATAATAACTCTAATCTTGATTAATATGATTAAGTTTTTTAAAAAGTCATGAGTTTGTAATGGCTGGGATCTGAAACGTTCCAAAAAGAAGACGCACTGAGGGCTGGGTCCCCGCCCTGCACCACTAGTAGGAGCTGATGCAAACTTTAGTTGGCGGGGCCTATTGCAGTCAGTCACTCCCTCTGTGTCTCCCTTCCTCCTCCTCTTCCTTCTCTCCCTGCTTTTTCTTCTCCTCCCTGCTCCTTCTTCTTCCACTTTCTCCTGCACCGCCCCTCCCCGTTCTCTCCCTCGCCCCCTTCCCTTCCCCTCCTCCTTCTCCCCAGGTTCCAGGAGGAGAGCAGCTTTGCCATAGCACAGTCTCCTGCCATGATGCTTCCCTCAACACAGGCCCCAACCCTTGGAGCCAAGTAACCATAGACAGAAGCCTCTGAAACTGTAGCCAAAATGAGTCTCTCTTCTGTTTTGTTTACCCGAGGCATTTTGACACAGTGACAGAAAGCTGATTAACATAGACCTCATGGACCTCATCGTCTGTAACTACTGGTTACCTAGATGATACTTCACTCATTAGCAATGGTCAAAAATTCATGGCTTGAATTTCACCCCGAGAGACTCCCGAGTCAAGTCAACTACTGCAGACAGGGGAGGTTTCACCCTCTATGTATGCAGGTACTCACATAATTCATCAAGGTTCTTAAAGAAATTTTCCTAGTACTGAAAGAGAGTCAAGAAGTAAAATGGGGAAATGCTTCTTATAAATATTTATAACCTCAAGCACCCATCAAATGACTGTTTAATATGAATATAGGGTAGAACTTGTCCTAAGAATAGAACTAAGGTGTAGTCCTTTTACAGAAACAGTGGAAGAGTCTCTTCTGTAAAGGACAGACTTACAAATGCTATAATAATCACAGCATGCTAGGATAGAAAGAGGATCATAATTGATTTTTCCATCAAGAAAGTAATCAGCTTAATATTCAAATATATTTGAAATGATAAAGTAAGTCTTTAGTTTGCTTTACTTAGAAATACTTTTAAAAGACACACAGAACATTTCTACTTTCAAGACTGTCTTGGTTTACACAATCTCACCTGTGTTTAGCAAGTTATAAGCAAATATTTTATTTTATAATAAACAAATTAAAAATGTGGCAAGCTTCTTTATAAACTATTTAGGTGCCTTATATCTTCTAATTTAGTTGATGGAACCAGACAAAGCTAAAATATGTTTTCCTTGATACTGCAAATGCTTTTCAGAAAATGCTGATTTCAGTATTTCTTATAGAAAACAGATTGTTTTTTCACAGAAGAGACAAGCATTTTCCCTTTTTTTTCTGCAAAATAAAGAAACAAAGTTTACTTTACTTTCCGTGGCATATGAATAAATGAAGTCACTACTTCCTTTACCCCCCCAAAAATTAATTTTAGACCAATTCTGAAAGCAGGAAGAGGAAAGATGTGGACCTTACAGACTGGTGTGCACTTAACCTACACAGGCATTTTCATCTGAACTGCTATGTTGAAATCAAATACAAAGCATTCCTTTATGGGTTTTAATATTAATAAACTGGCCAAGATGTTTTTGGTTTTATAAAAATAATTGACCTTAAAGTCTTATAAAATGAAAATCATTTTTTAAATTTTTGTTTTGTTTTGTTTCGATTTTAAAACCTTTCTTGATTCTGCGTTTCCAAAGCTCTCAGCCTCTCGGGAATGGTAAGCCAGCCCCAGACTCGGACCAGTCTTTAATCTCTTTATAGCTTCCCCACTCTCTCTACCACGGTGCCATTGGTGGTAGAGAACGGCACAATTTGGTGGAACTATTAATTCTTTTGAGGCTGTAATTTTTGTTCCAGTAACTAACACTTCATTAAGTTGAAATAGTTTCATTATGAAAGGAAATATTCACAGAGAATTTAAGCGATGAATGGAAAATTACTGTTTCCAAGCAGATTGATTCAAACTAAATGTTAAAGCTTGTTAATAAATTGGTTTATGCTTTGAATTTTTAAAAATTTTTCATCATAGGAAAATGAAGACCACAGGTATCGTAAGCTTTTTAGTTTACCACAGAAAAGTAAAAATGGCATGTAAAGACATTTAATCACACTTTAAAATATATCAGCTTCCATTCCATTGAAGTTGAACACAAAAGTATGCTTTGTTTTCTTTTTAAAAAGGTATTATATCCTGGACTTTATGCTGTCATTTAAGCATAGAAATTCAGTCTTCACGCATCCATTCAACAAGTAGACACTGATCACACATTTAGACAAATCACGGAACTAGTGGTATCAATGTAAATAAAATGGACATCCATCTCAGGAAGGGATAGAGAAATTGCATACTAAAGTCATGTGTATATCATTGCAATCCTCATGGTAAATGGCATGAGGTGAAGTACAGAGTGCTAAGAATGCTTCTCCAGAAAAATATTACCTAAATTAACATTTACCAGGTGAAAGAGGAAGAATTTGCAAGTTCATTAAAAAGAATAAGACATGTTGATGGGAAAAATAGCAAGACACATTTAGGGAAATGAAGGGAGGAAATCTACTGAAGCTGGAAAAGAACACAACATGTGAAAAAGAGTACTGACCCTAAAAACAGATGGTCCAGATTCAGAGGCAGGCTCCATCATCAATTCCGGGTTCCATGAGCTTGGGCACCTCAGCCTCCCCCCACAGGACAGGGACAATAATACTGACTTCACGGCTGCTATGAGGATTAAAGTGCTAACACACTCAAAATTTATGGCAGTGCCTGGCATATAGGAAATGTTACAAAAACGTTAGCTTTTTTATTACAAGGCTGACATAATCCCAATGAGAGCCTAAACATATATGTTATTACATATTTCTTTCTCTGAGTTATATCCTCAGTTATATAATTGGACAAGAACAGGAATTCCTTGTATTCCCACAGTAGATGTTGAACATTATAAAGCAAATGGGTGTTGCAGTACAGATCCCTGCAACTACAATTCCAAGAAATTCAGCTTCTTCGCTGTCACCATTGACATTATTCTGGTTCAGCTTTGCTTTAACAATGCTAAACTTTAAGTGTAGGAATCCCTGTTCTCTCTAATGACCAAGTCTAGAAAAAAGATTCATATTTATTTCCAAACTCTTGCGATAATTCTTTTAGATTATTCTTTATATATTAAAATAATTCTTTTTGATTAAAATAAATTTTAGATTAAAAAATAATTGTACAGCATGAAATATGATCCACTAACCCTAAATAATACTATGTAAACATATGTATATATCTTCAAACCATAGTCTAAACTGTAGACTTGAATGTGAATTTTCACAGGTTTTGGCTTTTTTCTTCCTCTTTTCCATTCTTCCTCACGTGTTATTATTTTATTCATTCTTTATTATGCAACTAACATAAATATGCACTTTTCTGTTTCTTTTGAGCCTTGCTCTCTCAAATTTAATTAGAAAGTATTATCTTTCTAGTTAGTTGTGTCTTTTTTCCCCATTCATCAGTATAGATGATAAGGTTCAGAGCCTTCCAACTGTAGAAGTATTGGCACGGCCGGTTGTTTTAATGTCATTTCTTACATTCAAGAGATGATTCCAGGCCCATCCTCTGACACTGGGTCCCAAACTTTTCACATCTAACCTCTAAATGCAGAATTTACTTCAGCAAAAGCAAGCCCACCGACAGCACTGTTTGTAGTCCAAGTACGAATCTGACATTCCTAGTGCAACAGAAACTCAGACTCTGGATACATCCCTCTGTGCTCTCTTGGAAATATTCCCATCTTCACTGATGTTCACTCAGGAGGAGATTCAGGATTTTTCTAAATTTATCTGAAAACGAAACTCCTCGGGGGAGTAACTACAATCCATTTATAGTCTGGGGCTGCATGACCATCCATCCTGAAACTTACCTACAATCATCAAAGACTAAAAGTATTTGCTCCTGAAGCCCAAACTAATCCTCATCTTATTTGGTTTCCAGATTCTGTGCGAAGGCTTTCGAATATTCATTAAAGGCTTCCAAGACACATATGGTTTCCCAGTTATCTTAATTTGGAAATATGAGATGCTTTTTATCGTAGGGAATATCGTGATCTACTTCATTCCTAATTGTTTCCAGGACTGCATTTTTCTAGATTATAGAAATTAATAATAAATCATTATGAGACATTTAGAAAGCCAAGTATACACATCCATCATCACTCACTTCCTAAATAAGATTCACTGTGAACACTACAGAAAAAATAGTATTATCTAATTAAGAGAACTTTAGTCTACATGCACCTATCCTCCTTAGTCAATCACATCAGGTTTTCTTGCATCTTTGTACCCTTATAAAATAAAGATGAGTACATATTTTAAAGATCCCACCATTTCCAAAACAATGTATTTTTTCAGTCTTAATAGTAAGAGAAAATTATACATTAAAATCAATAGCCCACTTTAAACAGTAGGAGAGAAACTGACTCAAGGTAAATGAAAAAGAAAGTAAGCTAGCATTCTTATTGGAGTTTTGCATTTGGAGAAAAATAAACATATAAAGAAGGTAATAAGATCTGCCTGAGTTTCTACTTTGCCAAGAAAATTTGCCATCCCGATTGAGATATATTTCATAATTCTGGAATTTTTAAAGTAAAATCGCACACTAAATAATTGTGGTTGAATGTGGTTCCATCATTCAGAGCTTTTTATAAACACATACAGATACGTAAAGTACATTAACCATGACTGTATTTATTCATTTCAGAAAAAACATTTCTTTACGTCATATCATTTGGAAATATGAAAACATCCAGACAAAGTTAATTTTGTTATCTGATTTCTAAAATGTAGATTTCAAAAATGCACATGTGATTTCACCACAAAGAGCCAGGATGCAAAAGCAGATTTAAATGGAGAGAATGAAAAATTTTGGCAGAGTCATTTAGTAATATTTATCTTTACTGTTACTCATCAGAAGAGAGGATTTTGTACAAAGCTCACAGTCAAGAAATCCCTTTCCTATTCTTAATCCTAGCTTTACCAGAACAGATCATTGCTGAAGAACTTGTTTTCACTTTCCCTTGATGCCCATAGGTCATGAATTAAATACCCACCAGGATAAAAGTGGAGGGTGACATTTATTCCAAATAGTTTTTAAAGCATGGTGATTTTCAGGCCTTGGCAATTATGGACCCAAAATCTTTAATATCTTTAGAACCATTTGTATATGAGAGTTCTCCTTTTGTATCAAGAGAAGATTATCCAAACAGTCAATATTGCCAGTATGTTTTCTGCAGATGATATTGGACTGCCAAATGTTCTGACCAAGTTCTAACACCGTGGAGGGCAAATAAGTCTGAGAGAGATCTGCTGTTCATAGGCAGAGGGGAAAATCCATACCAGGAAGTTGCACCTTGAATATCTTTTGCTATGAAATTGACATTTTGGTCACTATTCTTTGTCTTCTTTAACACGTTCTGTTTTCACTCCACGTGAAATGATGATCTTCATTTTTGAATCATCTGGATGAGTGGTCTAAGCTTTGGCGTGTGTGGTTTAAAGGCATTCATCACAGCATGGGGAGAAAATAGTAAAACTTCTATTTAGATTCATTCTCGTCTAAAAAGTAAGAAAAATAAGTCAGTATTTAGTACACAGGTTGGCATTGGCATGGGCTTATAGTGCATAAGTAAATGTACATTTATGAGGAATATTGTGTTAGTTAGTTTTCTATTGCTGTAACAAATACATAAAATAAGAACTTACAGAGAAAAAAGGTTCATTGTTTCGGAGATTTCAGTCCCTGGTCAGGCAAATACATCCCTTTTAGTTCTGTAGCATAGAGAGAGAGCTGAGCATAACTGTAGTCTGTGGGGGCAGCAAAGGCATCCACCTCATAGGCTGAATATGAAAGAGCTGAGGAGAGCAAATTCCCATAAGCCCTTGGAGGCCACACTGCCAATGACCAGGAGGCTCCTAGGCCCCACTCAGTGGCCCCACTACCTCTCAATACTGCCATCTCAAGACCAAGCCTATAACCCACAGGCCTTTGTGGGACAGTCCATGTACAAACAATAACAAAAATATACTCAAATATTCACCCCACTAAGTTTATTGGTACATTTCAAGTATAAAATACAGTTACATTCATCATTGGGATCTTGTACCTTTACATGAGTGTCTTGGTTCTTATTTTATTCCCCTTCCCCTGCCCTCCCTTCACCCCTTCCACCCTTCCCTATTTGCAAAGACTTTGTTTCCATTTTTTTCCTTTTCTCATATTTTTTTATTTTCCCTTCTTTCCTTTTCCCTACCCCTCCCATTTCCCTTGCTCCTTTAGAACTTTACTTCCTATTATACAATATCAATTATACATTTTTAAAATTACAATATCAAGATCTAGGAGACACTACCACAGATTTTACAGAATTTAAAAGGATATAGAAAGCATACTACAAAAAATCTGTTTTGAAATAAATTTGACAACTTGTATGAAGTACCTTGGAAGACAAATTAATGAAACTGACTCTGGAGGAAATATAAAATTTGAATAGCACCTATTAAAGAAAGTATATTCCTAGCTTGAAAATCTACCTATATGACAACAATAGGGTCACATACATTTTAACTGGTAAATTATATCAAACATTTAAAGCAGAAAGTAAAGGAACACTTCTCCCCTCATTTTAGGAAATCAACATTGTGCTAATCCTCAAACTGGATAAAGATAATAGAAGAAAAAAGTATGAACATAGAAATTTGTTTAACAAAACAAACTATTAGAAATCAGATCTGGCAGGATGTAGAAAGTGGTTTTATTATAAGGATGGAAGTGTTGGTTCAGCATTGGAAGATCCACCCCCACAAATACTCAAATATTTTTATTACAAAGGCACAGAACAAATAAAGGACATTCATCTTTATCAGTAATTAACCCTGCTATGTAAGAAAGTGGACCTGAGAAAATGAGCAAAACCTCCCTGCTACAACCTCATTCTATGAAAGAAGAAGTTTATTTCTGGTGGATCGCTCGTAAAAGACTGTCTTTCAAGAAGGTTGTTTGTGACGCAATATTTTGTGCCTGAGTGGGAAAAGTTCTGGCTTTGTTTCTGCAAAGACTTTTATTATAGTCTCCAAAATGAGCTCTACCCTAAGGTTTGTGCATTTGTGGACTCCTCTTCTACACAGACTAGCACTGACATGTAGAACCCATAGAATATAGAACAAATTACAGTGTGCAACTTACAAAGCTCAGCTATGGAAGGCATTGAGACTTCTACTTTGCTTACTTGGACCATATTTTCTGGGAAATCCAGTGGCTATGTCATGAATACACCAAAGTGAGCCTACAATGAGGAACTAAGACTTCCTAGAACATCTAGTAAGGAACACAGGCCTCCTGGCAACAGTGAACCAGTAACTGACACCTCCTGCCAGTAGCTGTTGAGCAATCCACCGTGGAAGGGAATCCACCATGCCCAGTCAAATCCTTAGCTGAGAGTGGACCTCCCCAAGGCCTTGGCCACAACCTCAGGAAAGACCCTGAGCCAGACCATCTGGCTTTGCTACTCCCAAATTACTGACTCGCAGAAACTCTGAGCTAATAAAGGTTTATGGCTTTTAGCTGCTAAGTTTTAGCATAATTTGTGAGTCAGCAGCATGTAATTAATGCAGTTGTGTTCAATAATTACTCTTCCTGTACAGAATTTGAATACGCATATAAAACACAAAATAGACCATCGGAAAACAAGGATGAACTTAGATCCCCTTCTCTAACATTTGACATTTCAACATTCCTAAAATCCTAAGAAGGAAAATTAATGATTAAGCTTAAGGGAGATAATTCATTTCTTTCTAGAATCTCAAAGAACAGAGTCAAATTATCATGGTAAGTTTACGATTTGTTCATTCTCCCAACATTTGCCAAAATGTTCATATAATAAAATTTCTGCTCTTCTGATGTATCACAAAGGAATAACTCCCTAGTTTTACTATATTAGTCAATGAAAGTAATACAAATTTAGTTTCTGCCTCTCTGAGGCCTATTTATATTGTCAGTTTTCTATCTTTTAATCCCTTTTTGAACTTGAAGGAAAACTGCTATACTATATGACTGCATCAATCTCATATTCCCACAGAAGTTAAATATAGTTTCATTTATCCCACTGTCACATGGTCTAAAAATTACTAATTAGTTTCCAAACATTGATATCCTCTCTGAGAGAACCAAATGAATCTTGGAGAAACAATGCTTTTGCTTTCCCTTTGTTGTTCCACAGAGTGACTAGAAATACATTCTGCCCACAATAATGTCCAAATCGATAAATGTGGTCAAGTAATGAAGTGAAATAACAGTAGACTCTGGTAAGGAATTATGCTAATATCTAATAAAGTTGAATAAAGTAAATCACCACAAATAAAACTGTGTAGTGGGTAAAATTCTGAACACAACAGCATAATATTGCACCACTAATGTCTTGGTTGTTTCCACATTGGCATTATACTATAGTGTCAGTATCAATCTCTGCCAGATTAACTTGTTATCATCAAAGTTTATAGATATATCAAATAGCTGTTTGCCTTTATAACAAGGATAGAGTGAAATACAAAGGTCAATTCCTTAAGTATCAATAAATATCGTTTATTTAGGAGCAGCAGTGTTGTGAAGTGTCCTACTTACATTTGAATTACCAAGTTTTTGAAGAGACCCACACTATCCACAAGAGATCCTCACCTTCAGCTGCACATTTGAACCACAGGTCATTAGAGCCAAAATTTCACAGGGGTCCTCCTCTATTACTGGCCTAAAATCAATAAAGAGACAAGGACAAATCAATTGAGCCAATATTTCTTGTTTTGTAATATTAAAACAAAGGGATCCATGCACACTGGTTAGTGTGGGTGCTGTATTGGGCCCTATGAGAACTTAATGAAAAGGCAGAATGGAGGACGATAAAGAGAGAAACAGATTCTTGCAGAAATGGAGAGCTGAAAGCATACTAGAGACATGTGAGCTGAGTCTTGGTTCTTGGACTTGCCATTCTGAGTTCCATTCCACATGAAATTTGATTGTATTTCAATAACTGTTCCTCTGAATCTTTGCAATAACTCCCATGTGCTTTAAACTGAGAATGTTTGCATAGGTTTTTATTCCTTTATCAAACAAAAAGCTTTGTCTATAATGTTCCTTTGAGTTAAATATAGAAGTGAATAAAAATATAAAATGAGTAACTATCATTAAAAGTGAATGCAGCTACTTGAGAAGAAAAAAATGAAATAAATTGTCACCTAATCCTCATGTCTCATGAAACTTTACTATAATGTCATCGCAAATTCAACACAGGCGGATAGATGATAGATAAATTAGATAGATAAATAATTAATTTATAATTCTAGTCATCAACCTAGACTACTATCCTAAAAATCCAGATTGCCTTTTGGGCCTATCTACCTAATTTCTAATGATACTTATATTAAACAAATTGTAATTACAGTTGATTATTCCTCCTTGATCACATATGCTCCAATTTTTTTCTATCTTGGGTGACCTCATTGCCTTATCCAAGATGAAATCTAAAAATCACGCTTGACCTCTTTTACTCCCTGTTTTATCTACTATTTCCCTAAAACCTGCCCTCTAACCTCAACATTTTCCTGCTATGCACTCTCTTCTCCAAGCACTACTACTTTAGGTCATCATTTTATCTTTTGATGTCAACAAAGTAGAGATAAATATCCTTGCTTACCTACTTTTAGGTGTACATTAGATTAGAAAAACAGCTACTACTTATTAGGACTTGACTAGTGAAAACTGGAGGTAGCATAAGTGTTATTTATTCATTGTTTCTTCTAAAATTTACCCCCTCTCTTTCTCTCTAAAATCATTCACTGTCTCCACTAAGATTTTGGGTCATTATTTCTTCTACCATTCCTCATTTGTACTGTCAATTCACTCTTAAATATTTCCTTTTGTTTCTCATCTTTGTTGCTCAACTTCTAAACTTGATGCAATTTCTTTTTTATTCCTTCATAATGTCAACTTTCACATACAAGACTATCCCAACACTCTGGTGTTGACTTTCTTTCCCACAGCTATTTTTTCCTCAGCCACATATTCTTTATTACATTCATTTTAATATCCCACTTTCTCACCATTACTCCCTTATTTCCATTCATCCTTGCTACTGCACCAACTCTAAAATTATTTTAGCAATATTGAGACCTTCATTGATCCTCATAAGATTCCAACTCTCTTATTCCCTTCCTCATTTTTCTTTTTACCTGGCATAGGTCATATTCTATATCATGGTAACTGCTTTTTTGGTAGACGCACTAATTGGCTTTTATTTCCTACCATCTCACTGGGTTTGCAAAATCCAAAGTCATAGAGATATGCAATTATTTTGGTTGTTGGCTGGTTGGTTTTGTTTCTTAAATCAGAAAAAAAATGTATTACCCTTTGGAAAGAATGAAAAGACAGAAAGAAAGAAAGAAAGAAAGAAAGAAAGAAAGAAAGAAAGAAAGAAAGAAAGAAAGAAAGGAAGAAAGGAAGAAAAGGGAGAAAAGGAAGACAGTATGAAATACTTTTCTCTGTACATTGTGTTTTACCTTAGAGTATAAAAAGAATTCATCTGTTAAGCTCAAATGAGCCCTTAGGGCTACAAATAAACTTGTTTTTTTCTAATCCACTCAATTTCCTATTATCCTAGATAGCTATTTCATATTTCCTCTTGTCTCTTAGAAACTTCAACAGTCCTCTCCACTTACCCAGCTTAGAAAGAAAAAAATACAACCAGGAGAGCAGCTCCACTTGCATGTCTGTAAGTCCACCTGCATCTGACTGTGCACATTTTGTCTTTCCTGCCACCTAGAATGAACACTATGACCGTGTACCGCCTAAGACTCACCACCTCCCTGTGTACTGGCATCTGATAAACACAAACCTAGGGATTCTCAATTCTTTTCTTACTGGACCTCTCTGCAATTTAGACTCTACTTCTTGAAACCACTCTCATCTTGTTTTGGGGGTTTTCATATTGTGTTTGTATTCAGACTTCATTAGTGACTCCCAATTATTCCATCTTCCACACCAAACACTCTATGGCCATTTTCCAAACATTCAGTTCCCGTAGGATGTCTTCTCTCTTATAGTCAACCACTAGCTAAATTTTCACTCATTATTAATTACATGTTTATGATTCCCAAATCTGTATCTCCAAGTTTGACATAGGTCCCTAAATCATGACTTACATAATCACTGTTTCACTCAACATATTCACTTAGTTATCTAGTTGGCATCTCAAATTCGTTATACAGAAAATCAGTCTCCCTACTCATCCTAAAATATTATTCTTATTCTACTTTAATTTTTTCTGACTACAGTAAATAAGTTGCATCTCTCTTGTTCATTTGGTGAAGATGTTGGGAATAATTAATAATTCCTATCAATTTCTCTTAATATATAATCTAAACTATCTTTTAAGTTAGTGAAAACTCTAAAATAAATTCAAAATTTGTTAATAGTCTATTAAACAATATTCCTCACTTCTTCCTTTGCTATCCATCATTTATTCTCCAACAAGCAAGCAGAGGTAATCTTTGAGAAATAATCACATAATTCTCATACTCCAAAGCCTGCATTGGGTTTCCCATTTCACTGTGAATAAAACTAAATTTCTACAGTGACCTACAAGGCCCAACACAATTAATGCCCCCTCCCCTCTGTGCTCTCATTGACCTCTGACTTCTGAAAGGGCTGAACATACTCCCTCCTCACCAACAAGCTTTGGCACTTGTTCTTTCTTCTCTTGAGTTTTTCCACACACATCTGCACTGATAGTTTGTCCTCTTCCTTATAGCTTTTACTTACTCAGATATCAACAGAGGAGACCTGGCCTGACCACTTTATGTACAAAGACAAACTTAGGCATATCTCATCCTACAGCCAAGTTATTTGGCACTGCATCTAATATATAATCCTGGTATGTATTAATTAATGAATACTTATTGAATTAAATGAAGAGTTAATGAATAGACTCAAGAATGACACAGCTATTCAGGTATTAGCACTTCATAAAAAATTTTACCTGTAAACTCAACAACATTTTGATGAAGTAAGCAACCTCAAATTTACCTCTACAGGAAGGAAATACAAAAAAGTTTTTACAAAAGTGTTTACTTCTATCAAGTCTGGTAATATAGACCAACAGCCTAAGTAAAAATAATCCTACCAAACAGCAATGGAATGGACCTGGGTACAGGTTCCATTGATGATTTCATTTACTTCAAGGCCTAACTTCAAATTCTACATAAAATCTATCAAGATTGCAATTTATTCCAAATGAATTTTAGAAAAATAATGGCTAACGATGAGTCTGAGGATTAGAGAGGTAAAAACATAATTTATTTAGCAGCCAAACATAGATTTTTCTCTCCTCCTGTAAAACTTGAGGATCTCTAAAATATCCAGTGCATGAATAAAAGAATTTCCAGATTTCAGTAAAGAGAATATCCATGGACAAGCGTGAATTTCTTCAGATAACTAATGTGAATCTACTCCAACAAACATGGATTATCCAGTCTTCAAAATTCTAGATAATGATACAATACAGTTATCTTTATTGTGAAAAACTTTAAATAATATCAATAATGACCATTAAAAATAAGAAAAAGATGGGCAAGAGATTTAATTCAGTGGTTCCAGCGACTGCCTCACAAGCGCAAAGTCCCGAGTTGGATCCCCAGTACCCCTAAAAAAAGAATGAAAAAAGAAAAAAGAAACAAAATGGCCTTAGCTTGTGATTGAAGTATTTGCAAGGTGAGCCTTTCTTTTAGTTGTTTGCTATCAGTAGTATCGCTAACAAAACAATTAAAAGGTACAGAAGCTCCATCAAGTAGTATGAGGTGAGTTTGAGCAATTGTTCCACCAGTCTTTTTTTTTTTAATTTCTTTACCAGAATCAACTCTATAAGAATTCTTTCTGTTCAGGAAGAGAAAGCCAAGTGCCTATACATAGACACGTCAGCAAATATAAAAATGGTAATGCACAGGTAAATTTTCATCTGTAGGCTAATGGTGAATAAGTTCATTAAAATAAGCAAAGGAAAGCACAGGTTCGCTTTACTTATCATCTTGACAATAGTAAATGTATATGGTAAAATCTACGGAATGTTAACAGAATTCCTGGAACTGAGCTACACGTATTTTAAATATTTTCTCTCTTAATTTAATAAAATGATCTATTGCTAGGCGAGAACACAGAGGCTCAGTGATTTTAAGTAAATGGCCCCAAGATGCAGGGTTGGTGAATGGAAGACCTCGACTCACGGGGCCGTCTCTACAATCCGAGGCTTCTAAGCATGACACTGTGCCCCCAGTCTCCAGTTGGAGGTGAGCACTGACATACTCGTGGCAATTAAGTGAAACTACAAGGAAGTTAGGAGGTAAATTCCAGCAGCTGTCCCCATAATATCAGGATCCAAGGAATGGGGAAATTATATGTATTGTGACCTAGACAAAGGAGAACAATCAGGATAAAACTTTAAGGCAGTTATAGTCAGAAATAAATAATGCCCTCAAAGAGCAGTAGAGATGCCCTTGTCATCTTATCAAAGAGAGACAAGAAAACTCACTTTGAAGCACAGGGGAGAAACAGTAAAGAGGTTTAGGGACAGTTTCATAGAGGAACTGAGGTTTGAAGGATCAGAATCATTTTGACACCAATTCAAGAGAAGGAAAGGCATTCCCGAGAAATACAAACACCAGAGCAAATGTAGTTCTTGGTGAAGAACAACCCAGCAACATCAGGAAATTGGCGGTGGAGGTGGTAGTGGGCATGGGGGGTTGGTGTTCTCGAGAGAAATAATCTCAACCAGAAGGCTTGTTGAACTACCACATTTGCAAATCAATCAATGTACATAGAACCTTGCAAATCATACCCTAGATTTAAAATAAAACAATTATGAAATTTGTCCAAAGTATTAGAGGAGTCTCTAAGAAAAGCCACTTGACCTTGCATAGATTCCAGAATTTAAAAGTGATTTATTTTGATTGAATTGACAGAGATAAAAACAGAAGCAGAAAGCAGAAAAAAAGAAATTGGAAAAGAGAAAAACAGGAAATGAGACTAGCAGGCTTTTTTTTTTTTAAGCAGGCTTCTTTTTAAATGAAGTTATTCCTAAAATTTCTTTACATTTATAGCCTTTAATTCCTGTACAGTTTTTTAAGTTTTTATTTTTTTATTAGTATATGTTTGGAGTACAATATAAAAATTTCTGTACCCCAAAAATCTTATTATTTTTTGGCCTAAAGAAAAGCAATGTGATTATAAGGCAGAGTTAGAATTAAGAAGAGATTTTATTGTTTTTTTATGAGCTCTGGGTAAACATAGACAATTCTCTCTAAAGGTAAATATTTTTAAATCATGAATTATGGTAAGTCTTTCCTGACCTGAAATTTCCAAGTCTTTTGAAATTCATTAGTTGCTAACTATAACTCATCCAGAAATAAATTAACTATGGCTTTGAAATTTTCAGGACACTGGAGAGCCAAACACATCAGGATAGAATCTTTGTCCCATGCTGATGGGTAAAAGTAATCAAAAGTAAAAAGTACTTTACAATCTAGAATGGTTTTTATCACAAAAAGATAGCATTCTATACCCAAATCTGCCTTTGTTTGTTTTAATATTAATAATTAAAATTTCAATATTGCTGGGAATAGAATAGTAAGGGTTTTAGTTTATGTTGCTAAAAGGTGACACATAAACTAAACAATCAAGATTTGATTTGTAGAAGGGGGATATGCTGTCAACTGAACCTATACCAGTGCCAATGTTTATAATCCAATCAAGTGATTATACCAAGAATATTTCTTGCTGTTTGGAGTGACCACAAGAGATAGGTAGAATTGAGCATACAGAAGAGAGAACTTGTGCATACCAGTGAAAGCAGCAACATCAATAGTTACTTCATTTTCCTTCTCTGGTTATTAAGTTCCTACATGTTTTTCAGTGTCTACTGCTAGTTTCTGCCACTACACAGTAACTTTTCAAGGAGGAGCACTGTGACTCTCAAGTTACTATATTTAAACCACAATACCTAAATATAAATTGATATTCAGACAAAATTGATTAATTCCATAAATATTCTAAAGATACAAAATAAAAGGATTAGGGTGTACCTTCAGCAAGATGACAGAACAAGAAGCACCAGATTCTCCTTTCTCCCATGGCAACACCTACACAACAAAAAACACAGGCATCCCTTTTGTGAAAAAGCCAGACACCCGTGAAGAGCCTCCTGCATCCCAGGAACTATGAAACCAGCCACACTGAAATGACAAGGAAATTTTGTGGCACCCCACACCACAACCTCTGCCCTAGCCCAGTTCCACACGATCAGGAGAAAATTCCCCATTCCCAGATTCTTCCCAGGGAAAGAAAGAGAAGATTGAAAAGCAGGTGTAATATTTCAACTTTGGAGGAAAGAGCTCCCCGGGAGTGATTTCGATCTTGCCTTAGAAAAAGTCTAAATACCTCAGGGCTGTTCAGAACAAATAGAACAGCTCGGTGGTATGCTGTGCTCCAGAGCACTTACAGTACAGCAAAGGTCAAAGCAGTTTAGTAACTTCTCTCCCAAGAAAGAAAAAAAAGAAAGAGTATGTGTCTAACATTGTAGCTTTGTGTGGCGCTGCCCAAGGCACTAGATTCTGCTCCACCTGGGTCAGAGTGCGGGAGGACTTGCATAATCTGGATGGCTAGGGGCTGCTAGCAACAAAAAGCAAAGGAGTAACATGCTACTGCTGCTGCTTTGTCAAAAGTCAAAGAAGAAAATTTTGAAAGCAACAAGAGAGTGACTCTTTGCATACAAGCAAATTTGAATGCGACTATCAGTTGATTTCTTAGCAGAAACTTTGCAAAACTTGTGAGATGGTATACTCAAAGTGCTAAAAGAGTAAAAGTGTCAAATAAGAATATCATGCCCAGCAAAATGGTCTTTTAAAAATAAACAAAAGTTGAGGACATTTATCACCACTACATCAACGTTATAGGAAATGCAAGATAAAACCTAAACAGTAACAAAAACTGTGTGAAAGTATAAATCTGACTGTGGAGGTAAATATGTAAACAAATAGAGAATGCTGTGAATCAGTAATAGTAGTTGTAAATCAGTTTCATTCTGGTATAGAAGGTAAAAGACAAAAATATAAAATGTAACAATAATTTTTAAAATGTTAATAGGTACATAATATAAAAATACCGCAGTTAGGAAAGTTGAGGCAGAAGAATCACAAGTTTGAGTGTTGCCTGGACAACTTAGCAAGACCTTGCCTCAAAAAAAAAAATGTTTTTTAAGGCTAGGAATGCAACTTAAAGGTGGAGAATACCTGGGTTCAATTCCCAGTACTACCAAAAAAAAAACAAAGAAAAAAACATGACTTTGGGATAGCAAATGCATAAAGAAGAAGGAGATTAAAAACGTAGTTTCATACATGTGGGGACAGTTACACGGGACTGAGTCCTTCACGTACGGGGTCTGACCTCATTTCCACATAGGTAGTAGATTCCAGAACACCCTGCAGCTGACCACTGGATGGTCAGTTTTCGTCGACATTCCACAGATAGGGAACATGGATACAACACAAGGACATTACATACATGTATGAAAATGTCACATGAAACCTATCATTTTGCACAATTAACATGCACTAATAATTAAAATAAAATGAAGAGTTGACTTGTGTGTGAGATGTGAAAAAGCACTTTTGGTCCATTTTCAATTTCCTATTAATTCATAATTTGGGGTAAATTTCATGTTATGTGGTTTTCTTACAGCATAATAAAAAAGCAATAAAATGACCTTAAAATCATGATGTGAATGAGTAAAATGAAAATAGATTTACTGTTCTTTTTTTTTGAACCCTAAAAAGAGAAAGGACTCCTCAAATTTTGAAACAATAAAATTAAGACAAAGAATGCCATGTGCATGACTGAATTACATTTTGGAAGTAATCATCAGGAAGTCAGGTGAAAAAAGATGAATAAGTCCAAGAAGACCTTCAACAAATACTTCTTGAAAAAGTCATGAAGAATCATACCAACACTAACAGAGGTGAAGTAAAGAAACAAACTTCCCAGCTCTTGAAAAGTTTTGCACTCAAAAGGGCTGAAGACCCAGCAGGAATTAAGCCTTCATCCCTGAAGCTAGGTCTGGTTAATATTTCATGGAGTCGCCTCTCTTCAGAAGCAACCAAATTAATTCAGAGGCTACACAGGTCTGAGAGCACAGCTTCTTCATATACACACTTGACAGAGCCCCGGCTTCCTGGCAAAGCTGTTGGAGCCCTGTCAACACAGAGGCATTGCCCTGGAAGATCGTGCAGCATCCTGCTGTGGGGGAACGAAGCAGGGAGCATACTTGGAGAGCAGCCCCGGGAAAAGGAATACATCCAACATACACCCCGGAATCCTGTCCATGCACAGCTAGAGTTCGCTTTCTAAAGTTCTTCACTTGTTTATTTGTTTGTTTGTTAAACCAGGAGATCTAGTTCCCTTTTCAAATAAAGTTCTCTTTGGAAATCCACTCTACGAAATAGGAAAAAATAGACTGACCTGGGATGGAACAAAATGGGGAGAGCAAAGCCTTGCCCACCTGCCTTGCTTTGTGTGTCCCCATAGTGGTTCTTACGTTGTTGCTGAGCTCTAGGGCTTTGCAGGACAGTTTGAAGAGGAGGATATGAGTGATTTCTATGAAGCATTCAAAAGGGTTTCTTTTAGATTTACAGTAAAAATTAATGTTTTCATATAAATAAAATTAAAGCTAGAAAACATACATGATAATTTTTAAGTAATGACATCGTTCCTGTCAGATAATCTGATAGGTAGCTGTGGAATGCAACACAAAAAAACCAGAATTAGCTATTTAATTTTACTCACAAAATATTTCATAGTATCTATGATCCACCAGCCCTGAACCAGGGGTGGGTCACATAGATTGCTTGAAGAGCCCAGTGTTCTTCAGATTTTGTGAGCAATATTGGTCACATTCATGAAACAGCCCAAGAATCTAAACATTCTGTAACAAACCAGCTTGATTAGCAGGAGTCTGCTTTTTTCCAGAAACTCCTCTCAAACTGTTTTAGAAATTCCCTGGGACGCTTTCCCGTGTAGCTCCACCACATCTAGTTGTCCCCATCATTGCACTGGGAATCATACACTGCCGATGGCTTCAGGTGGCAACCTGAAAACCTGCTGGAAATGCTGGTCCCCCTAACCTACTCCCTAACACTCACTCAGACCCCAGCTGTGCCTAAGTCAAGTCCAGCCTCTGATGCTGCTGAAGAAAAGACACAGCTCTCATTGTTGGTGTCGTCAAAGCAGCAGATCTGTGTGATCCTGATCCTTTCTGTCCATAGGCCTGGGCTTCCCCTCACTGACCTTATGCAGAGCTATCTAATTACACAGGCAGTGATGGATCCAGACAGGGACAGGCAGAGTGAGCTCAGCTCCCATTTCACACTCAGTGGGGAGGCTGAGCTGTAACAGCACAACTCCATGCCACCAAAGGACCAGGTACCTTTAGTGGGGAGGAAATTCACTGAAAGGCTCCATCTGCTCCTGTATTAAACACCTGAGAAGCTGTTTCATATGGCAGGGAGAAGTGGAGAAAGGACGCAAGGGAAAAGAATTGGAATACGAATTACATGGAAGGAAAACCCTGAAGAAAGAAAAACCATTTAGAACATTGTACAACAGTTCAACTGAGAAACCATTTAGATGTAAACCTAGTAAGGATGGAATTTTAAAAAAGCTGAAATGTGGGTAATTAAACCCTTGGGAAATAGCAGTCAAATCAAGAAGAGCACATAGTTGATAGGCAAAACTTGCCAATGTGATCACATTACTGAGTCATGTTTTGTAGCCAAGACGATAAATAAGGCAAACAAATTTTTTTTTCAGAGATTACTGATAATGTTTTTGTGAATCTTGGAAGCTGCTCCTTTCTGGAAAGATTATGGTCGGTGCAGGCAGTGACTTTCAATGACTCTTTTGCTGTAAAATCAGCTGCCGGTTTGCTTGGAGCCTGGCTACTCGAACCACAGCCCGTGAATGAGCATCCTCTGGGAACCTGTTATAAATGCCGGCTCAAAAGACTCAGCTGACACCTCCTGAGCTGGGCCATTCACATGCACACTACAGATTGAGAAGCAGCACAGGTGAAGATTAAGAAGCAGGAAAACTTGAAAACGCACGTGTTTCCTCCAAAACACACGAAGGTTACCCCAGTCAGAAATCTCAAGTTAGTGTAACTCGCAGGTGAATCCAGCTCAGGAAAACTAATAAGACATCTAAACATAGCCTGAAAGCATCTGAACAAGACAGAGTTGAATGGCATTCAGCATTAAAATACAATGTAAAACTTAAATGCAAAAGGTGAAAGCTGATGTGCAAAGAACTACAGAAGTATACTCACAAAGGTAGCATTCACTAGGGCAAAATGATTTTAAGGAAACATGACTATCACTGCAGCCACACACACATACATAAGACATCACCACCAAGGTGACAAACAACATAGAAATGACAAGTAGATTTGGGTTTCCAATTCCTCCAGAGATCCTTGGGTTTCCAATTCCTCCAGAGATCCAAAATTGCCATCTGCATAATATTTGATGTAATTAGTTATAGATACAGTTAAGTAAGTCCATGTATCATTTACCTTTTGGAGTTCCTTTGAATTACTTTATTCTTTTCCAAAGGGAGAACCCAATTCATCTGCAGAATCTGGCTTAGTCTCCTATTTATTTTTCCTGGAGCAGTGTTTCTTAACCGTGATCCCTAGACAGATCACCTGCAGAACCTTATGAGAGTGCTTTTCAAAAACCTGTCTGCTGGATTCAACTCCAGATAATGATTCATAATCCCCATAGACCAAGCCTAAGAATGTACTTAATAAAATGTAGGTGATCTTCATTCAGTCACCTGTTTCATTTATTATATTGCATCTGGCATTGTAAAACGAACAATGTAAATACTCACTAACTGGATGTAGGAAAGAAAAGAACAGTCTTTCCTAGATAAAGTGATCAGGAAGGCCTCTCTGTGGAGGTGACTGGAGCACTAGGAACTCAGCCTAGATGCAGAGAAAACCCGTTTATTTTCAGCAGTAGCATCTGTGCAGTCCCCAGTGTACAGATGCTGCCTTTGGGGACCCATAGGAGCTGGGTTGATCTGCTGCTC